TGCTATTGTTCTTTCTTCTGGTTGGCACCTGAAAAATGATCATTATTCTTTCTATCATGCTGCTGTGGTTTCTCACAGCTTGCAGGATGTGCTGTTCACCTCTTAAGAAAAAGAAGTGCTGAACTCATGGAAACAAAGCTGAGTTAGAGACAGGAAACAAGACTTTTTTTTTGAGAGACAGAGAAACTGAGATGCAGTTTTTGCAAACCACGGACATTCACACAGTCGGCTCCTGTGTTGCATTACAGGTAAATGAATATTTAGGCCTCATTTTGCTGTGCTATAATTAGACTGACCAGTTTCTGCAAAGCGAAGTTGACATGTGGGGTTTTTTGTTAGTTTGTTTTTTTAATACAGTGGAAAACAATGAGGTTATTTGCGGATGAGCAGTTTGAGTGGTGAAACCAAGTTCTTTGGGGCTTTGTGAATGTGTGACCTGCTAATGAGTTGCCCCAAAGTCAGGGAGAAGTTTCTGTTCCCTTGTAGGTAGACTTCTGCCCCCACCTTCTAATACTTTTAAGAAAGCTACAATACCTTGTTCTAGAGAACAAGTCAGTCAGTGTTTTTAACAGTGGCCACTGTCTAGTCTTCACGGCCTTTTCTCATTTTCTTCCTTTTTTTCTTCTGTTGGCATTTCTGCTTTGGCATGTCTACTACTACTTTGCTGTTTTGGGATTTAAAAACTGCCAGAGAACAAAGCCTATCAGAATAGGTAAAATGTCACCAATGGCCGTATAAGTGTCATGTCCACCTTTGCATCCTCTCATCCCTTCTAATGTTCATGCTCTGCTACATTACTACAGTCTGATTTGACAAGTTTATTCATGGGAGGAACTTTGTCTGGGTATACAAACTCACTGAATTCAGTGATGCTTCCTTGAAGGATTGTATTTTAAATGAATAGACCTTCAGAAATAGGCCCTTGATGTCACTTCGGTTTTTATAGAAGTGTTGACATTCAGTATACAGTGGTAAAAAGTGACTTCTGTTTGTTGGGGGAGGAGGAAATGATGAGAGAAGCATTTCCTGCTGCTTGTCTCCAGCCGTCCACAGTGTTAACTTGAGGCTTCAAGTTTTCAGAATTGACTGGAAAAACGATTGCCAGAATAGATACCTTCAAAGTAGTGCGCACAAAAGGGTAAAAGTCACACTGTACAGAGGTGTCTTGGCTGAAGCTGGTAAGGGACTTTCCAGTGAAATGGCTTTGTTGAAAATGGTAAATCATCAAACCCAAGTTTTTCATGAGCACCTAGCCATTTAATTAAAATTTCAGTTAGCAAAGTTTTCACGGGTCCAGGAAGGAATTATGATTGAAACCAGGGAAGAAGGAGCCTGTACCTTAGTGATTAGGACACCTGGACTGTCACTCACTTCTTAGTCTGTACATGAGCCATTTGACCCCACGTCTCGCATTTTAGATGAAAGCCTTAAGTACTAAGCCATTTGGCTGGTCTGGGGTATGTCTTAGATTTGTTTTGCTGTGAAGTGGGAGAATTTTCAAAGTCTCAGTGTTTTTATGAGATGGGAAAGCAGTTTCCCACCCAATTTGATACTGTGCTTTTGTGTTTCACTTTTGTTGAAACCTCAAAATAGGACTCAGATATTCCACCAAAACTACAGTTCAGGTTTTGTGCTGGCCCCTCTGTACCTGGTTGTGCCCCTGGAATGGCCCAGGGCCAGCCTGTGCTCTCTATCTTGATTTGATTTTTTTTTTTTCAAATTGAGTAACATACTGAGAAAGTGGAGTGTCTTGCTTTGAATCTGCAGAGGTATTTACAGAAAGTGGTGAATCCGGTGTCAAAAGACTGCAGAAGGATTTACAGGAAAGTGAAGGGGAATAGATGCCAGAAAGGGAGTAGATGAATACTATTAGGATACCTAATAGCATCCCTCCTTATATAAACTTCATGGAAACCAGCAGCCATTTGACACTTGTACTGCAGAAGCATCTTGAAGAGATCTTTTTGTGCTTTTCCGTGTTAAATCATTTCAGGACATTTGTTAGACATATACACCTGCTTCTGGCTGCCTCTCTTCTACAAATATTCTCTGTCTCTAAAAAGCTTACCAGGGATGTTGAGTTTACTTTGCCCTTAAGGTGTGTGGGGGACTATTTAAGAAATTTTCCTATAAACGTCAATATTTGATTCAACCCTCTATATTTTTCAGGTATTTGCAAATGTTGTGTAAAGATCTCCAAACTATCTGCCATGGTTGGTCTTGCCCAGAAGAGACTTAAGCAAAATGAAGTTGTGAGGATGACTTTTGTATAGAGCCCTCTTAACAGAGATCTCAAATAGATTTGCTTGTAACTTGGCTTATTTTTTTTATAAGACTTTTGAATTTGCAGTGGAAGTTGGCTAGCCTGTTTGCTATGCAGCAGTACTCTTTAGTTGGTGTGAGCTCATCCCTGATGCAGTTTGCATGGGGCACTACCTTTATCCCAATTTCCTCTCCTTTCCAGTGGAGTGTGCCATCTTTGGATTGTGGTCTCTCTTTCGGCAGCACGTGGCTAGAGGTTGAATATCCTTTCTTGTGAAGTTTTCCAGCAACTTAAGTTATGCAGCTTAAGTTGTTCCTAGCATTGTAATTCCACATAGAATACCTGTTGGGGGACATGTGACCTCATTGTACTAGTTGCTGCATATACAGAAAAAGCAGTATTTAAAAACTGCAAGATGAGTTAGCTGAGGAGAGCATAGGGCACATTGTTTTTAGAAGTGACAGTCTAGGTAGGGAAGTACCAGTTGTGGCAGGACATTTAGGGTGCTTGCCATTTGAATAGGTCAGGCAGCCTGCAGGTGGGGCCAGGGCTAATTAAGGAGTCATCAGACTCAGAGTTATAGGGGTGGAGGAGGTTCCTCGGGACCAGTGTTGGTCCGGAGCCCAGAGAGTGGGGCTGTGGGTAGGGGACCTATTGAGGGGTCCAGGTGAGCCCAGAGAGTGGGGTTGAGTGCCTGAGACCTGATGGAGGACCCTGAGAAGGTAGACCTGTGGATGAGAGAGCTGACAGCTGAAGGACTGACCCACAGCATCTCGCTGGCCCAGGCAGAGACAGGGCCTAGGATAGACCAGAAGTCCAGAAGAGACCAGTGCCAGACACTGCTAGGGCCAAGGGAGCCCAGAGATCTCGCAGGGCCAGGGACTAGGGTAGGCTGAAGGTTAAAGAGGACGACAGCCAGAGAGGAAGGGGGTCAGGAGAGAGAGCCGGGGCCAAGAGGGCCTGGAGGTCTGTTGCCCAAGAGGGGCAAGGAATGGGGCTGGAAGTCCACAGCCCAGGAGGGGCATGCGACATCAGGGGGAGCCCAAGAGGGGCCAGGATAGTTAGAGCAGGATGGCCTAGAAATTGGTCCTGGGTAAGGCCTGAAACTGCACCTTACTGGGACTGGTCAGTGTAGTGGGGCTGTGTGTCAGGACAGCCTCCATGAAATGCCATGTGTTGCCACTGCAGGGAAAGGCAAGTATGGGGCATCTGAAAACCTCAGCTCCCACTGCCTTGTGGGTCATCCCATGGAGGGGGAAGGCTAAGGGATCACACTGTGATGGAAAAAGAAGGGAGAGAAGAGCAAAGAAGGGCTGACTGCCCATAGAGCAGAGTGTAAGAAATTATTTGTTTTTGGCCTCGGGGGGCTTCATGGCCACCCCTGGAGATGACACCCTGTGATACCAGTAATGTCCATTTTAATAGATGGCTCCTAAGACTCTTCCCCTCTGGTGGAAAGACCACTGCAGGGGGTATAATAATCCTAAATAGGCTTTAGGGCAGGGGCGGGCAATTATTTCAGGTGGAGGGCTGCTGACTGAGTTTTGGCAAGCCATGGAGGGCCGCATGACAGGCAGCCAGGGGCTATTAAATATTACTTTTCTAAATTTTTTAGGGGCCCTGTGGGGTGGATAGAATGGCTGGCAGGCCGCATGCGGCCCGCAGGCTGCATTTTGTCCACCCCTGCTTTAGGGAGTGAACTGAGTAACTTTTGGAGGTCTCCAGTTTCTAGCATCTGTCTTAATTTTACACTTGAGAGAACGTTTGGATCATAGGACTGGGACTCAGAGGTTGGTTCTGTTCTTACATTGGCTACTGATGTGCTCTTTGCGTCTGCTCGTTTTTTCTGCCTTTTCTCTTACTACTTAGGATTCAACTCTTCAGAGAAGGGACTCTTTGGCTTGTCTATCCTGGGTCTGATTAAGGATCATGTAAAAGACAGGGTTGAGTATGCCCTGCCCATGTGAGTTTACTGACATGCTCCACAGTGAAAATTTGCCTGTGAGTCTCATCCCTGGTCCCTGCTCTCAGACCTACTGGAGAGCGCTCAGGCTCAGACCTCAACAATGGGTACCGACAACAAGTCCAGAGCTACCTTGCAAGCAAACTTTCAGCTTTGGAGTGTGTCAGTGGATTTGCTTGGGACTTGTTCTCCCATAAACATGTGACTTATGCAGGATAGACAAGCCCTCTCTGTGCTGGTACATTGTCTAGCACAATGGTCAGAACTTGATCAAAAATACTATGACAGCAACAGCTTTGTTAGACTGGAGGGAACCAGTCTGGAACTGTTAGGTATAGTGATGCTGCCTTGAGACAACTGCTAAAGCAGTCTTTGCAAAACTCTCACTTGGTGCCTTGTAAGAGAGAGAGTGAGGCAGAGAACCTGAGCAGTGTTCAGTTCGGAGGAAGACCTTTGTGTAGTAGAGCGCAGAAAGGTTCCCATAAATGAGTTATGGCCTCATAGAATTCCTTTGTATTCCAGTATACAATTCATGTTAGCTCAAGCTGCCACTTGATAAGGCAGGTTTCATTAGGTCCTTTCCAGCTGGGGTTTGACAATTGTGTAATTCTCATGATTGGGATTTGTAACGAGAAGCCATGGGTACTGGCAGCTAAATAAAAACGTCTTTGAGATGATAACTGTTTAGGGAAAGCTTTCCAGTGGGTGGGGAATGGTAGATTGTCTAAAGGGGTCTGTAAGAATCTGTCTTCAGTGATCTTTCCTTCTTGTTCCAGGGTTTCCAGTATGTGCTCCTCAGATGCTAGGATGCACTGTTTACAGCCCTGCCAAAGAATGCTGTTATAATGACAGGCATCTGACACGAAGATTGTCGCTGTGGGACATTGCTCCAGCAGGGACGTCCTGAGCTTGTGCTCCCCCTCTCCTGGCAGAGGCAATGGACACCCACGTGGACCTCCTGACAGAACTGCAGCTGCTGGATAAGGTGCCCACATTGGAGAGGCTGCGGGCAGCTCAGAAACGCAGGGCTCAGCAGCTGAAGAAGTGGGCCCAGTATGAAAAAGAAATGCAGCACAAGAAGCGGAAGCATGAGAAGAAAAGGAGCACGGTCAACCGCAAGAAGGTATCTTTTGAGGCCAGTGTCGCTCTGCTGGAGGCTTCACTGAGAAATGATGTGGAGGAAGGTAAGGCCTAACAGACTCCTTATGGTTTGACTACTCATGAACTCGGTGTACTTCCAAATGGTGTGCATGATCGCCTCCAGTAGTGTCTGTCCGGGAAGTGCTGCCCTCGGGTGCTTTTCTGCAGTGAGTCGGGCATGTCAGACATCCAGACATCATCATTAGGCTGAGGTGGTGTGAGCACTGGTGTGGGTACTATTAAACACTGATGGCAAAAATAGTGGCTCAGTTACAGGATGAGAAGGGGGAGCGTCAGGGGAAACCTTATCCCTTTTACTGCCCTGTCTTCTCACTCCTTTATATGCAGAAGCATAGGTAGAGAGATGACCTATGACTGTCATATATAATGACTACCATGTATAACTGTTTACTTTTATGGAAGGATTTAAAAGTGCTTTATCCACAATGCATCAAGCATTTTAACACCTCTGCAAGGTTTGATGGTATTGGAGCTGATTGAAAACTGGAACAAAATTTTTCAGAATTTCCCACAGAAAGGAAATTCTGGGATGAAAAGTTGGAAATGGAAAATACAAACATTTCATTTTGCAATCAAGATGCTCCCCCCCCACTTCCCCCTCCTCCCTCTGAATTACTGAAACCAAAATTGAGTTGCAGCTCTGGATCTGTTGGCTCAGAGACGGTTAGCTATGTTAGTCTAAATTCAAGAAGGTGGCAGGGTAGGTTTGCACCTTATAAATTAACCAAAGTAGGTAGGTAGGTAGGTAGGTAGATGCCACCAGCTTTTGGGAGCTGAAGCTCACTTGATCAGATGCTGTTGGCTCTGCCAAAGCTTCTTGATTTCTACTGCCCCATTATCCAGAGCAGAATGATGGGGGACCTAGAAGCTTTGGAGCCTGAGTGCCATAATTTAACCCAAGATCCTCAGACTTCTCAGACTCCGTTCTACAGAACCAGGAGCAGAGTCCTGACTAAAGCAGGGACTCTTCTCAGCTCTGTGACATGACCCCCAAACTGGGGATCCCCATACCTACTAAGTGAGCTGGAGCATAGCAAGGCAGGTTTTCATTATTGGAGCCCCATCCATGTTTCAGATTCAACCAGTTAATATTTTTTTAAGGAAAAATGTGTTTTGTTTAAAAAATAAATAAATAAAAAAAATCCAACCAGCTCTAAATGAATGTTTTCCCCATGTGGGAATGGGGGACTGGAAGGGGCCTCCTATGACATCTAATCCAGTTGTCTCCATTCATAGGCAGTCATTTACTCAAGGCATTTCTCAAAATGACCATTTCAAGCCCTCAGGTACAACCATATTCACAAAACCGGCATGAAATGTACTTCACAGGTGGAGAGCTGATGTGCAGAACAGTGAAGATGCTCTCCTCAAGATTACTAAGGAAATCCATAGCAGAGCTGGAAACAGTACCCAGATGTGCTGTATTCCAGTCCCATCATAACCACTAAACCACTCCACTCCTTCCTGATGCTTGCAAAACTCGAGGAACATTCTTGTATTTACACTTTTCCACAAACTATGTTGATTTAATTAGTCTTCCTGTGTTTCCCACCAATACTGTCCATATCTGCTAACAGCCTGAGACCTTGCAACATGAATTTGATCCCATGGCAAGCATCCAGAATGAGATCATCTTTAGGACACTCCTGGGTTACTCTGAGTTTTTTGCCTTTTCACTTTTCCTGGAAATGGTTTGTTCACTGAGTCAGATATAAGAGAATCAAATCACTTATCACTTCACATACAATTTACTCTCAACCAGCTCCACTGTGTAGTTCTTGGTCAAAATGATTGTTTTGAACAATGTTGTTACCTAATTGCACTGAAAACTAGAACTAAAATGCAAAACCTAGTGTGCAAAAGTGCCTGAGGAGCAAAAGGAACTTGTATCAACCCCTATGGTGGCTGAAGGGAGTGCTGTCTTTCCAGATTGTAGAGGCTATGAAAAGATTTATCTGGGTTTTGACAGAGAAGGGACAATGCCTGGAACCTTGGACAGTTTTTCACTGCAGTTCTTCTGATGAAGATTTATATTGTGAATTCTGTCCTCTACCGCACGTTGAGAGCCCTTTCTTCTCTTGCAGATTGCTACTTGACAGGTGTGGCTACATCCTGCCTCATTATTAAGGCATTCCCCCATAAGGGTAATGTCATGATGATAGTTGCACAGTCCTTGGACTTGCATTGCACTTCCTAAGGCTGAGGTTATTTCCTTTGACTTCTCTTCAAAGGATGTGGGGGAGGGCAGTCTGGACTACCCTTCAAAGATCCTCCCATTGTTGTGTCTCTAAGGTTCCCTTGTATATTACTTAATGCCTCGCCAGTGCATATTTTACATATAGAACAAAGTGGCTCATTCTTAAGGTGACCATAATCATTTGAGTGAAATAACTTGAGGGACAGGGGTAGGGGGCGTGCTAGGGGGCAGGGCCAGGCAGGACAGCGTGTTGCTCATGTGTACATGCTCCGTCCCCCTCACTCCCCAATGCTCCCAAGAGCTGGGCCGGGCAGGATGGGTGAGTGGGTGGTGGGTGCATGTGCACGCGCCTGCACACACACGCACGCACCAAAGCGTTGGCCCTATACCTGAAAAATTCCCAGTTGTGCACATACAGTGAAGTAGGTCAGTTATGTGGTACATTGGAGATTAGACCAGAGCCTGGTCTTCTAATGTTTCCTTCCCAGCTGCACCAAGCCATTATTTTCCCTGAAGGAACAACCTTCTTTGGATGCCAGATAATCACTCTGGGTGCCCATACATGAGCAGGGAGGCTACTGCGACGTACTGTAATTCCAGCACGTCGGAGCAGACTTGATTAATCGAGTCTGCTGGAGCGTGGCAGTTACTGGACTCCAGCAGTCTTCTGTGTCTTGTGTATCAGTGTCCCCATACTTCAAAATGGTGACGGGGATGCTTTATCTAAAGCTCGTTCGATGAGCTGTAGATAAAGCACCTCTACTGCCATTTTTGAAGCTCAGGGATGCTGCTGCACAAGGCACTCCAGGCTTTTTAAATAGAGCAGCTATTGGAACTGATTTTAATTAAAGGTGTCCTCCCCACCACTACCCAGAGCACAGGTAGAAACACCCCCTGGCCCTGGTGCTATAGAAAGTGATTTTCTTATTGCTCACAGGCATAGATGTTGGGCTATGTTGGATGCAAGAAGTAAGCTTGCTATTCAAGATCTGAATTTCCTCTCCTACTTTAGTGGGAAAGTCGATCTCTGCAGTGTAATGACAGGGGCCTGTTCCATTTAGCTGAGGCCACTAAGGAGGATGTTCCTCTTATTTGCCACTTGTGTCCCTGTTTAATACACATGAAACCAACAGAAGTGGAAAAGTCCATTCCAGTATTGGCTAGAAACATTAAACCCTGCTCTAGAGACCCTTTTGGCTAACTGAAGATAAGGGTTGGGGCAAGAGAGGGTTTCTGTTCTCAGTGTAACCCGTGCAGTACTCCAAAAGGTACCCTCTCTCCAATTGAAGGGATCAAAGCAGGTGCACAAGCGCTGTGGGAGGTGTAGGGACTCTCCTCCCCCTATAGAGCAGAGCCAGACCACCAATGGGGACTTAACCATATACCTTTTAATGAAGGAACAATACTGGGAACATAAACAGGCATAATCAGGGGGTATAGTGGACACCACAATGCCCCAAGGGGGCAGGATTCAACAAAGGTTAGACACTTACAATCATTGGCAAAAGACGGGGTTAACGAAATATAAAACACAAACAGCAGAGCAAACGATACTGGTTGGGGAAATATAAAAAGGCACAAAATACAAAATGTCAAAAGGACAAAGAAATATAGGGCCTAGGTACCTGGAGGGGGAGAAAAACACAATGGCTTCTTTCTACTGCAAGAAGAATTTCTCCTTGTTAGCTCACTCACCCCAAGTCACCAAAGCTGGGACTTGAACTCAGATCTCCAGCGCAGTAGGCAGGAACACTGCCACACAGCCACCAGTGCTAGGCCTGCTTCAAACTGCTAGGGGTCTTGACCTTCCTGGAGCCCTGGCCTCACGTGGAGCTGCCTGGTCTCTGATTGGAGGAGCTGAAAGCCAAGCTGGGAACCCCTCAGGTCACTGCTCAGATCCTCCTGCTGGCCACAGCCTCTCGTAGGGGATCCTGGAGCCCAACAGGAAGCCTCTCCTGCTGGCCACACGCCATGCTGCTAAGGGTCCCACTGCTGCCTGCAGGTCCTGCTCTGTCAGGCTGTTCTGGGGAACTGCTTCTGCCCCACTGGCTCAGCTCTTGCCAGCTCTTTGAAGCTCCTTCCTCCTAGTCCCTTGCTGGTCTCCCCTGAGTCCCTTGCTGCCCCTTTTATCCCCTTCCAGGTGACTCAAGGGGCCAATCAGGGGTTCATGAGGGGTGAATCTCTGGGGCCTGATTGAGGAAAGGGAATCCCAAGTCCTGTAATCATCTTTTGCCCTTTCAAAACCCCTGGGCTAGGTCACTGCCAGCTAGCCTGTCACATCAAAATAGCAATTGCTTCCCCATTTAGCTGAATATTTCAGATGCCTCAATGATTTTAATGTTATGGAGTTGTACTAAATTAATTTTTCAAGCCTAAAAATACCTTGGCCAGGTTTTGGCCCTGTTCTGGCCCCTTACTGTTGCCTGGTCATTGAGAAAAGGGGTAGGGAGAATCTAACTGGAGCTGTTGGGCTGAGAAGTCTCCTTGTAGAGAAGAGTTTTACTAGTATATGACAGGCAGAGCCTGCTCCATGCCAAGTGACCTGCACCAGTTTTCAGCTACTGTAACTGCCTCTGCAGTTCTTATGTGGGGAATTACTTGAAGGGAAGATAAATGAAAAAGAACATTAGGCTGAGGAGTTAATTTGAGGGAAATTAAAGAATTTAGGTCTACAGTTTGGCTCAGAGGTGACTAGGCTGGAGAATATACAGTTTTAATGCCTTTCTTTCC